CGAATAGATCTGTGTATAATAATGATAATTCCTCATGTTGAAAATTTATTGTGAAATTTCATTCCCTCTCTTCTGATTTTCGCCTCAGTCTTATAAGCATCGTTGAGGAAAAAGAAAGATTCCACCCAATAATTCTTCGCTAGTGGAGTCAGTTGACTGAAATTAAATAGAAATAGAATGGTGCCAAAAGATAAAATACGCCATGTTAAGTGTGCAATACAACATTTATCTACAAATATGAGGTAAATTTTTAGTTGAAGACATTAAAACTAAGTTGTCCATGTTGCCAAGTAAGTTAACACACACGGGAAAAATGAACAAAGAGAAATGCTAACAAAGGTATGCAAAAACCAATTACTTAACTATCAAAACTTTTCATTTTGACCCAATATCTCCTGAATTATGAAAAATTAGGAAAGAGATGTTAGTCTAGGTTATCTGCTGGGAACAGTGTATGTTAGCTGACTTTGTTCTCCTTGGCGTTTCTGAGAAAATTAGAAGTCTTAACAGGATTCATTATTAGTGGCCACAATCTTAACAACATGTGATGCAGATTACTTACATTATTCAGACTGTTATCCTCATCTTCATTGCCATATACAAAAGGTTTCGGCCGTTGTACGCCCTGGCCTTCTTCATGTAATTGGAGTTTCGAATTGAACCCTTTATTCTGATTTTTCTATTTCCACGTGCCATGCCTCTTCTGGATATTTCCCTTTAATTCAACTCTCCAAGTTTTGGTTCACCACTGCTGTAGCCTGGTATTGAACTCACAACAGTTTGAGTCTAGTCACTGGATCTAACCGACGCCCTTATCCACTGGGCCATGTGTCCTTGATGGCAATCAAAATGAGAATAACAGACCGAATAATGTAAATAATGTAAGTAATCATGATACCTCATCTCAGAGATATAGACAGATGAGATGCAGATGCTGATAGTGGACACGGAAAGAAAACTGCAAGAACCACTACATAAGGTAGTAAAGGAAATTGAGAAGAAAGGATTAAATATCAATTGCAAGAAGACAGAATGCAACAAGAAAAGCCCAACATGCAAGTTACAAATTGGGGATAGAAAACCACTATTGTCCTCATCTTTGTCGCCATATTTATCACAACGTTTCGGCCGTTGTACGCTCCAGCCTTCTTCAGATGGTTGGAATGTCGAACTAAACCCTTTATTTCGCTAGACTGTTCTAGTTCCACGTGCCATGTTTGATGGATGTCAGTTATCAGTTATCTCCTGTTAATTTCCCTCCGAAAACTCTCCACTGCCCCAACCGGGCATTGAACCCACACTCCTTGGGTCCTGTCACCGGATCCAACCAACGCCTTTATCCACTGTGCCACGTGTTCTTGAGGAATAGTCCGAATAATGTACATAATACCTCATCTCAGAAATTTAGACAGACCCAAAACCACACAAGTACAACAATTTAAATTTTTGTGAAGTGTTTTTGTGAGTGAAGAAAGTGTGATTCAAAAGGCTTTCTGGAACCTAAGTATTAAGAAACAGAAAAATTCTCTTCGAAACAAAGAAGAGAGTACTTAACTGATATATAATATCGGTTTTCCTATATGGCAATAGATGCTAGATAATCTCCTCACAGATGAAAAAGCAACAGAAATGTGCTGCTACATAAGGATACTGAGAATACCATGGACCGAACATGTGAGCAACGACGAAGTTCTAGAGAAAATAGAAACAAATGAAACTTATACTTAACATCAGGAAGAGACAGTTGAAATTTCTAGGCCATATAGTGAGGAAAGAGGGCTTGGAAAATCTGACACGCACAGGACAAAATGAAAGCAAAAGGGACAGTGGAAAGTAAGGTATCACATACTTAATGAGCTTGAGTAAATAAGTCGCGGAACAGGGTTTAGGAAAATAACAAGACAAAATTTATTAAGAGCTATGAAGGACAGGAAGTTGTGGAGGGCCATAATAGCTTACGTCCCAAAGGGGCATAACACATAAAGAAAAAGAGTTTGTAAATACAGTGCTCGATATACCTTATTAGCATTAAATAAAATTAAATTTTCACATATAATATCCTAACTCGGAGCTCAGAAAGGTACAAGTTTAATATGATAATAATTTTATTTATTAATAGATAGATAGATAGATAGATAGATAGATCATCTGTCTGTGTCTGTCTGTCTAGATAGACAGATAAGTAGATAGATAGATAGAGAGAGAGAGAGACAATAAAGGGCTATACATATGGAATGAACGAAGAATATGAACAGATTGGAATCAGAGTTATACAAACACACTGGTCTCTCTCTCTCTATCTCTCTCTTTCTTTCTATCTCTCTCTTTCTTTCTCTCTCTCTCTCTCTCTCTCTCTCTCTCTCTCTCTCTCTGTATCTCTTTATATCTACCTATCTCGATACCTACCGACATTATCTGTCTGTCTGGATAGATAGATAGATAGATAGATAGATAAAATTAAATAAAGGGACGAGATTAAAATAAACGAAGACAGAAACATGGAGAGATTGGAAAGAGTTATACAGACACACTGTTTCTCTCTCTCTCTCTCTCTCTCTCTCTCTCTCTCTCTCTCTCTCTATCACTCACTGTACCTATATCTATCTATCTATCTACGTACATATCTATTTGTCTGTCTGTATGTCTAGATAGATAGATAAATTGATTGATTGATTAATTTTCTGTGTCTATCTTACTGGCTTACAACTTTTGGACGGCATTTTTCATTCCTTTTCTCACTTTCTACATTTTCCCGCCAGTTCTGTTTTCCCTGATTTTCGCATGGCTTCAAACACTTAAGCCTTCATGTTTCTTTCTACTTCCTTCTCTCTTCAAATTCACAATTTCTTCTCGCTTTTTACTTTGCGTTTTATAGTCATTCACTTTCTTTTTTTTTTACATTTCTTTCTTTCTTTCTTTCTTTCTTTCTTTCTTTCTTTTTTTCTTTCTTTCTTGTCTCTTTTCTCTTTTTGCCATATTTCTCTTTCACAATATTTTTTCCTTCATCATTCTTCAAGTAATTTTTTTTTTGTCGTCAGCTTTGTAGGTCAACTGCAAACGTGCAAATTAATTTTCCTTCATTCAAGGAAGGAAATTATTTCCCATGTGGAATCTATTATCGTATTTCATTATTTATCTTTTAACTCGATTTTGTTGTTTTTTGTTTCTTAAGTGTAGGGATTGAACGAACTGGGGTTTCCTCTTGGGTGATGCGTGATCTATACAGACCACGTCTCTCTAAGTTCCGACCTCAGTAAAATGAAAACAAGAATCATTGGCAAAGAGAGGTGCCTTTGGTCAAGTATTAACGAGAAAGTTTATTTATTTGGAAAAAAAACTTAACAATAGAAAGAAAAGAATGAAGTGAGCATAAAAAGATTTACTTTTTTTAATCATATCACCCCATACGAGGCTGTAAGGCCACGAAGACACACGGGGTTACTGAGTGTGAAAGAATAAGAAGAAAAAAAAAAGACATTCATTTAAATTTTTGAAAATCAAAGTTTGAAAGTATGGAATCGGAAGAAAGTTCCACAAGCGAGAAGTGCGAGAAAAGAAACTGTTAGCGTTGAACTTATGGTTACATCTAATCAACTGAATTGATATGATCTTGCCGACAATCTAGTCATGCGGTTAATTTCATGAAATCATAAAAATATGAATTTCTGGGATAAGTAGTTATCCTTATTTATAATATTTATATTCAGCTGATTGTTCTCAATCTTTGTTGATGTTGAAATCACAACATTTCGGTCGTTCTGCTCTCCGGACTTCCTCAAGTTTATATTGATCTGGTTAATTCTGAAACTCTGAACAGAACACTATTTAATTTCCGGGAGTAGACTGATCTCGTTCCACTGCCCATGTCTAGGAATATCGTCTAGTTCTTATTTTTAGTACTGTTCACTTATTGCTCGCCCGTTTCCTGACTTCAAATACACACTGCTCGACCTAGGGACTGAGTGACTGTCAGTTCAGTCCCTGAATTGGGCAGTGTGTACTTGGACTAGGTGGAAACGAACAATAACTGAGCAGTACTAAAAACAAGAATTCAGTCCATGATTTTTGCTATCATTTCTAAACAGGATCTCCGCAAAGCATGTGGAGTTGATGGCTTCTATGTTCATTGAGAAATGTACCCGTGAACTGGCTCCTATTCTGTCTACAGTAATTGTTGATTGTGGCTTTACAGATTGTTGGAAATCCGCTTTTGTAGTTCCTGTTTTTAAAAACTCAGACGAACCGTCTGATCCTTCTGACTTTTTGACTCTTTTTGACAAAGTGCTAGAGGCTCTAATCAACTTTGAATTGGTTAATCATCTCATATCACAGAGTTTTCGCTTCTCTAGATCAGCTGCTGATTGGTTAACAGTTATTGCTGAAAGAGTCCGTTAAGCTTTATATAAGAATGGTGAAGCTCGAGTCGTTGCTTTGGATATCTCGAAGGCATTTGACAGGGTTTGACATTCTGGTCTTCTTCACAGGTTCAAAGGTTATGGTATTTCTGGAATTTTTGATCTGCTTTAATCTTTCTTAACACATCGCGAGAAAAAGTTGTTTTAAACAATCACTCTTCGAGATATATTTACATTAATGCGGTTGTTCCCCAGGTATCTATACTTTCATTAACGACCTCGGCATTTACGCTGATGACACCACTATTTAGTCATGTCTTAATGGTAAGTCTGATCAGTACGATATGGCCAAATTGGAAGCTGAACTAACAAAATCAGCTACAATCTGTTGTTAACTGGGGCAAGAAATGGCTTGTTAATTTCAAACGTCTCCAAAACGAAACTGTTGTATTTTAAGTATCTTAGAGAATCTGTACTTTTGCCTTTAATCAAAATGGCTGATGCTAACCTCCAGGAGAGTGACTCATTGCGCCTTCTCAGCCGACAAGTGGAAACATTAAATTGAATTAATTGCCAGGTTTACTCCTAGGAATGTTGGTTCATTGTGTTGGTTCGTTGAATATGACAGACAAGGAAATGTTGATGAATTTTTATTTAGGTTTGCCAACATTCTTACATTTTTCTGTTTGGTGGAAGTAAGGAAGTGCAAAAAATATCTGTCTTGTCCATTGTCCAAAACTCTTTCGGATACTTCTTTAGCCATTTTCAAGTTTGTTTTTTTTTAACTGTCGTTAATTTCTTTTCATGTTTGCCTGCTTAAGGTGTAGTTTTGTGCTATTTTTATAGAAGTAGGTTTATTCCGAGCCGACCGATTTGAGCATGGTTAGAAATCTATTAAAAAAAAAAAAACCTTCAACGCATCATATCCGCTACTGAATAACGTGAGATTTATAAAGGGTGCCAGATTTTTTTATGTAAAAGGCTTCTCTCACAGCGAAATTTTTCAGTAACGGGACCTATATAAATAAAACATTCATCAAACTTTCCATCATGTCTCTCGTATTAACGAAACATGTTTGAAATATATATATATATGTGTGTGTGTGTGTGTGTGTGTGTGTGTGTTTATGTATTTCTTTATTGCCTCCGTGTATCTCTATAGATAGGCAAACAAATCACACGCATGCAATCAAGGTCAAATTATAAAGTTTTCGAAGTTAAATTGAAAAGAAAAAGATTTTATTTTGTGACCTGAAGGACTTTTAAAGCGTAAAGGAATTTTCAAATCCCACCGGAAATAAAAGCAAAAATATAAAGAAAGAAAGAAAAGAAAATAAAGAAAAATAAAGAAATGAAAGAAACAAATAAACAAACGAAACAATTGTTTGTTTTTTTTCCACTATTTTCTTCTATTTTTTTAATTTTCTTTTTTTTTTTCTTCTTGGTTTGGGTTTTGTTTATGGAGTAATTTTCTCCAGTTTGTTCTTCTTTGTGCACGAATACGCATGCGTGAATGTGCGCAAATATTTTTTTTTTTCTATGCGCATGTGTGGAGGTCTATAAACGTTCGTCATTGTTTTAATATCTGTAATTTATTTTAACAAAGGAGCACACATACATTCGCCTAATATATGTTCTTTGTTCTTCGACTGAATTTAAAGTGTATATCTACATTTTAATGCGCGATATGTGCAATATTTACTGTATTTGTATGAAGAAAAAACGTGTTTGTCTTCATACAAGAGAAGCAAGGGCGACTTGATGTGAAGCAATGTTTAACAACCCAATCTTGAACATTATTATCGCATAGTGAGTTCAATCCTTACTAGATTATCCATATGTGTCACCGTGTACCAAAATAATTTTAGAAAACTGCAGTAGTAGTGATTGGTGTAGCACTCATACAAAGTTAAGCTTGTAAATCAATTCTCTTGTGTAAGGCTTGTATGCTTCTGAAAATTTGTATTCCATAACTGCCAATTTTATTTTTTATCTACGGTCATATATATATATATATATATATATATATATATATATATATATATATGTGTGTGTGTGTGTGTGTGTGTGTGTGTGTGTGTATATAGAGAGAGAAAAGAAAGAGAGAGAGATGGATATAGATAGATAGATAGATAGATCGTGATTACGATTCCAATGTAATAAATTATAACGAAGAAATATTATTGTTTCAGCATTATATATATATATATATATATATATATATGTGTGTGTGTGTGTGTGTGTGTATAGAGAGAGAGAAAAGAAAGAGAGAGAGATGGATATAGATAGATAGATAGATCGTGATTACGATTCCAATGTAATAAATTATAACGAAGAAATATTATTGTTTCAGCATTATATATATATATATATATATATATATATATATATATATATATATATATATATATATATATATGCGTGAGTGTGATTGTGTAAATTTTCAGATATAACTAAGAATATATCTGGAAAAGGCAATATATAGTATAATGACAAAAGGAAAAGATTTGCCTTCAAAAGTCCATCAGAGGACATGTTGGCTAAGAAATGTTTTCCTTTTGTCTTTATTCAATTTATATATATATATATATATATATATATATATATATATATATATATATATCAGGCACGTGCCACCAGTAATTACTCAGCGTAGATGGCTTGTGACCTTTATGCAGTAAATCTATATAAAATAAAATGGTTTGCATTTTCTGAATAATAATCAAAGTAACGTTCATAAATTTGTTGGATTATGTGCAGTTGTGTAGCTGTTGATCTATTTTGTTCAGTGTTGGCTCTGCCTACCTTACCTACTTAGATGGCACGTCACTGTATATATATATATATATATATATATATATATATATATATATATATATCTTACTTTACTGCATAAAGAGATGCACTCCATTTTAGCTGGGTAAATTCTGTAAAATGTCTTTGTGTATATAAGCATGTAATATATAAAGCAAGCTGTCATTATGTAACGAAGAATTAAAAGCAATTTAGAAAAAACATTACTGTATATAAAAATCAAGCTTGCAATAAAAATTAAGATGAATATAAAGTACAAAATCACAAGTTTGAAAATATGGCGCATGAATACAACAATAAAAGATTGCAAGAGAAAACAACGATAATGCCT